GCAAGCTCCACAAGGGTTTCTGATCCCCAGACAATCTTAAGGCCCCAGCTCAAGGCTGTGAATGTATCTCAGTAAAAATGTGAGTTCAGTGCTCAGAAGATGCCAGAGGTCACTCCCACTCCCCTGCCTTGTCATTTGTTCTGTTGATGTGCATATATCAATCACAGCACAAAGACCTCTCTCCCATGTGCAAATACTCTGTATTCCAAAACTAAAATGTGCATAAATTATGGCAGGTAAAGAATCAAACCAATTCTCCTTTTTAAGATGTAGTTTTATTGAGGTATTAGTTATAACTATAAGGTAATTTGGGGCAGACAGGAGTTTTTTGAGGGGAGTGGATCCCCTGAGCTTGTCTGGAAAATGGAAAACACACTCAAAGATGAACTGTCCTGCAGGTGTGAGACTCATTGGGCCTGCACAGAGGCACGTCTGGATAGAGATTTAACTTTCTCATTTAAACCAAGTAAAGTTGAGCTCCCTGGATGGGACTGCTGAAGGCTTTCTGCATTTGATTATGGATTCCAAAGCCCAGCTGCATTGCAGAAATTATACTGTCAGGAAGACGCTGACCAAGGTCCAGAGAGTAAACAGGAGCTGGAACACAGAAAGTGAGCCCTGAGCATAGACGGGCTTTCACATACGTACCAGACGTCTTCCCTGATTTAACATGGGCCGTGTGGTTTCCCAGTGTCTTCTGTGGCTTTCTTTTCCCACGGAGAGGCCTCATGTATTCTAAAATATGAAGCTTTGGGGATTTCTTGAAAATGGTACTTTCACTCAGTAAAAATATGTCAAGGTGAAAATGTTATCTGTGTGAATCCATTTGGAAAAAGGATTAAACTAAGAACATGAAAGTAACAGTCTATTTTCCCCAAATGATCAGTGTCTACCCAACCTAATCACTTTCCATGTGACAAAAAATATTTCTTCAAAAATCACCACAAAAATATTATATTACAATCACCAAGAAGCCTAGGGTGGCTCTGTACTCACCCACCATCTCTATACAAACATCGCAAGTGCAGAAACCTAAGCTTTTTTGGTTTAGACCCATTCTGGGTTTTCTCATTAATGAAGGAGATTTATCTCATCATAGTCCCACAATTTGCCTATATTGTATTTTTTAAAGATTTTTTAATATTTTTAGAGAGGGGGGAAAGAAAGGAGAAAGAGAGGGAGGAAAACTTCGACATGAGGGAGAGACATTGATCGGCTGCTTCTCGCACCTACCCCGCTCCTGAAGGGGGATTGAACCTGCAACCCAGACATGTTGAACCAGCAACATTTAGGTTTGCAAGATGTCCAACCAACTAAGCCACATGGCAGTGAGGGAAGTAGGGGCTTTATTCTATTTTTTAAAAAATATTTCTCCAGTTTTGACGAGGGCCTTATAACATGCACAGAGTCACTGTCACACTAAAAAGAACCATGCACCTCTCTCCTTTAAGTGCTATCCAGAGTCCCCTTGGTCTTTACAATGGCTCTTAGAGAAGCATCTTTGAGTAAGAAATCCAATTAAACAATAGGTTTACATCTTGTGTGTCCTTCCTGTGTGCAGCTTTCTTTCCACCTCTGCATTATGCCTTGCCATTCCTTCAAAACACAGAATTTTAGAGCTGAAAGAACACATGAGTTAGTGTAGAACTGCAGCAAGCTGCAATAACAAGTAAACCCTATTAACTCAGGAGCTTAGTACAGCAGTTTATTTCTTACTCCTGTGACAGTCAATGCACAGCTATCCTCAGCGATCTAGTTTTCTTCCATCATGTGGTCCCACCATCTCAGGGTCCTTCACTCCCAGCAGTGTAGATAAGAAGAGAGGGGATATGGGACATTGTAGGGACCAGGCCAGGAAAAGTGGAGTCAGTCACTTCCATGAGCATTCTATTGCTTCTTCTATTGGCCCAAAGAAGGCTGAGAAATGTAGAGAAGTGCAAAGATGCTAACAGGGTTTGCCTCAGAGAGACCTTAAGTGCCCCTTACTTCCAATCCCTTTTAAGTTGTTTTTTTTTTTTATTGGAGCAACCAAGACCCAGAGAACATAAGTTACACACAACTGATCAGTGACAATTCAGTTCAATACTCATCAAGAGTCCTCGTGTCCATTTCTATTGATTCCAGAAATCTTAAGATACAGTTGGAACATTGTTTCTAGGAATTTCCAGTCAGGGTTCCAGGATGGGGAGGACTATGGCCATCCTGCTCAGAAACACACAGTTCCAGTGCTCTCCTCTCAGTCTGAGAGCTGGACAGATGAATATTTCAAGGAGCAAGTGCCAGTAGCAAACCCTAATTATAGGAAATGCTTATTGGCTCCTAAGGGATATAAAATTACTTTTCAGAAAGTCAAGAAAAATAGAAACAGAATACCCTGTAATACTTTGTTCAGAGGCTAGAAGTCACCTATTAAGGTTGCATTTTGTGCTTGATACTCTGAAGACAGCCAAAAGGGTGGAGACAGAATTTTATAAGGAGAACAATTTTGAATGATCTCAGCCTGATGTGCAGCCATTACATTGGCTCATAGAAAATACATCTTGAAAGCTTGTGCCCTTCACAGTTGAGGTCAAATGTGAGAAGAAACAAAGCTCCAAAACAATGCCTGATAAAGAATAAGGAAATGGGTGCAGAGAAGGATGGTCTCCTCCATGGGCTCTGAAAGCCATCTGAAGAGCTGGGCTCCACTAATGGCAAACACCCCTGTATGCAGATCTGGGTAAAACTTTGCCTCACCTCTGACCATCTACATCAATGTCTGTTGAACACTTAGTTACACCCTATTTTTCTAAAGTCCGACTTTATCATTACAAAGGTTATATATCTGAACTTTTTTCCTGAACTTTAAAATTTTAATATGGAGATCTGAGATTGAGTAGTTAAAGGCTGCGTAGTAGTTATCTTAGTTTTAAGGCTTTTTAGGTAAACTATTTAATATCCTGAGATCTCCCTTCTCCCACCATAACAGGTAGGGAGGAAATAAGAAATAAAAATTAGATCTGCCACTGGAAAATTAAGGTATTGATTTAATGTAAACATTTCTGATCACATAAAATCAAATAACAAGGATAATAGAAATTGGGTTTACAGCAGTGTCAGATTATATTACTTTATTTAGCTGTCTTTTCCCAAAATATAATTGAATTTCATACATTTATAGATCAGACATTAAAATAGCAAAGAATTTAATTATATGTGCCTTCATTTTTAATCTTTCTATCTTATTCTCTTCATTCTGTGTCCACTGTTTCCCCACTTTAAAAGAAATTTTATTCTTATAACTGGAGGGAATATTGTGCCCAGTTTATTGACAGTGATATTGCAGCCAGTTAAATTAATGGGCTTACTGAATCACAGGTTAGTTTACCGACAAATTTGGGCTCAAATCAATGGTCAGACTGGGGGACAGAAGGGATGGAGGCAGTCCAGGTAGGTATCTCCAAAACCTGGTAATATGTTAGCTTTCAGAAGTAAACTAGGAAAACTAAATACAAAATGCATGCAAACTAGTAAAACAGAATGAATACAATTAGCCAATTGCAGATGTAAGCCAAGAAGTCATTCATCTATATATAAAATAGAAGTCTGGGGGAGCTTCTCAAACTGCAGTCCCATCGATCTGGGGGTAAAATAATAAGGAAAATTTACATGTGGTTGTAAGTCAGTGAGCAGAAAACTAAGTGGCTTTGTCGTGCCTGTTTGGATAAAAGCTATGTGAACAGAAGGAGTTGGTTAGCCAAGGAAGTAATAAAAAGAATCAGAGGGTCATAGAGACTCTCTGGATGGCAGAGCCTATCAACCTGGAAGATTTAGGAAAGACTATCTTGGCAGTGTTCACCAAAGCATATGGGGAACCAAAGCACTTGGCAAAACGGTTCCTTTTGCGGGTAAGAGTGCCTCAAGCCATTGACAGTAATATTCTAAGATCAAGTAAAAGCCTTTGTACTTATTCTGTAGACACCAAGCAACCTTGTGATAATTTGGCTCCTCATATAGTAAGCCTATTGACAGAGCTGCCTCAAAGCTTTCTGGTCTACTTGCAGTTGTATTATTATTTTAAATTACTGTAATTATATTGATGCTGTGAGCTGGTTCCACCTTAAACATGCCAACAAAATTGCTTTTGTGTAACTAACAGACCTTAAACCATGGTATAGTCTTCAACTTAAACACCACCTTATGGGGTACACCTGGGCAGGCAGTAAGGTTATCCAGCAACAGGTTCACCTTTACTCTGTGTTCTTCCTGAACTACAGCTGAACCAGCCACATGTAATTCCGAACCATATAGAAAATCAAAATCAAGCTGTTCTAATAACATGACTGCCTTTACTGATCTGACAAAACAATTGCCATATTGTAAGCCAGACGAAGTCTGCAGAACAGAGGGATGGAAAGATACTAGACCATTTTAACAGGCCATGTGCTGATTTTCAATTGTTTCTGGGACCCTGCCATAGACAACTTTATCAAAGATACCAGTGTAGTTGACAGGCTAATGTTTTCCAGGTTTTTCACACTTTATCCAGTTGCAGTAATTGTTAGGTGATAAATACAGTGACAGCTCATTACAAAATTCAGCTTCCAGAGCTGAAAGGTTAAGTGACACCTCTCACTTGCTGGGTAATAGGTTAGCATCTTACCTCTGTTTCTTCCTCACTTTCTACCTCACAACTCTGTCTGGAATCTTGTTCACTTGAAGCCTTATATTTCACATAAAATCTGTTGTGGTGAAAGTAAAGTCAGAAGGCCCTACTCTAGAACTTCAGGAATACGTAAGACAGTACACAGAAAGCAAAGCTAAAGGCAATGAAAAATATGGCATAAAAACTTGAGAGCATTAGCCTTAGTCTCTACAAGATTTTTGATTAGTGTGTTATGTGTGTGTTTGTCTGTCTGTTTCCCCTGTATGTCTAGGAAGAAAGGCTCATATACTCTTATTTCCTCATGCCAGCCTGTCACACACATATAAACCTATGTCCATAGAAGTTAACTACTTGGATACTCTGGTTTCTCTTCAGATTGTAAATATCTTTCATCTTTTACTAAAGATTTCCATGGAGAGGAACAATTCTGAGTTTTTATCCAATTTTTTGAAGGCTTGCAGTTTCAGGGCTTACAAAAAAGAAGTTAACTACTTGGGTTTTTTAGATGGCTTTCTTGAGGTATAATTGAGGTGACATATATAAACTACATGTATTTAAAGTATATGTTTTATAATGTTGACATATATATACACCTGTAAAACCATCACCACAATCAAAATAATGAACATAATCATGACCCCCGAAAGTTTCCTCGTGACCTTGACAATCTCATCTTCTGTCCCTTTCTACTCCCATTCCATCCCCAGGAAACCATCAATCTCCTTTCTGTCATTATATATCAATTTGAAATTTATGGAAATTTATTTAAATGAATCACAGTACACATTTTTGTTTTGTGGCTTCTTTTATTCAGTATAATTATTTTGGTTTTCGTCTGTGCTGTGGCATATATCAATAGTTCATTTCTTTTAATTTTTGCTGAGTAGAATTCATTGTATAAATGGACTACAGTGTATTTATCCATTCTTCTATTGATATATACTTGGGTTATTCCCAGTTTGGGACAACTAGTATAAAGCTCCATGAAAATTTGTGTAAAAGTCTTTCTATGGACATGTGCTTCCTTTTCTCTTGGGTAAACACTTAGGAATAGATGACTAAGTCATAGTGTCGGTGTATGCCTAACTTTCTGAGAAACTAACAAACAGGTGCCAAAGTGGTTGTACCATTTTACATTCCCATCAGCAACATATGAGAGTTCCAGTTTCTACACATCCTGGCCAACAGTTGGTATGATCAGATTTTTCTTTTAATTGTAGCCATTCTAATAGGTGTGTTGTGGTATTTTATCATGGTTTTACTTTGCATTTTCCTAATGATTAATGATGTTGAGCATCCTTCCATGTGCTTGTCATTTGTATGCCTTGTAAAATATATCTGTTCATGTATTTTGTCCATTTTGTAAATTAGTTTTTTTTCTTATTATTGAGTTTTGAGACTTTTTAAATTTTATTCTGGATGCAATTATTTTGTCAGATACACACATGTATTGTAAATATTTTTTTCCATTCTCTGGTTTCTCTTTATTCTATTGACAGTGTCTTTGAAAAAAGCAGACATTTTTAACTTTGATAAGTTCTACTTATTAATTTGTTCTTTTATGAACTTTGCTTTTGGAATAGTATCTAAGAAATCCTTGTCTAACCCAAGGTCAAAACATTTTCTCTCATATTTTCTTCTAGATGTTTTATAGTTTTAGGTTTAGAATCATCAGAGTCTGCATGAAATTTTTGGGACTGTGTGAGGTCACCCATGTGGTGACAGTTTCTAGTAATGAGAAGAGTTCCAGTAAGAGGAGGATCCAAGAAAAAAAGGAGAAGGAATAGCCAATGGACAGAGGACAAATCTGGAGAGTATGGGAACAGGGAAGCCAAATTTAAAAAGTGTTTCAAGGAGGGAATGAACAAAAGTGGCTGAGATGTTAAGGTGGAATTTTTAATCTCTCAAATTTATTACTAGATTAAGTGAAATAAATACCTGGAACGGTGTGTTAAGGTGCTTCAGGCTTCAGGCCAAATAACAGAAATCTCAATTAAAAGTAGCTTCAGCAATGAGAATATTTATCATGTCACATAATATAACTCTGGGAGATGAGTAGTTGTGAGTTTGTTTAATTCATTGGCTCAAAGATATCATCAAGGACTTCATCTTTGGACTCTGCTATTTCCATAAAGGCAAGATGGCAGCCCCAGATGTTATATTCTCTCACAGTGTCCAGAGGTGGGATAAAGGGGACAGACTTTCATTGTATATCTTTTCAAGGGTAAGGAAACTTCACCAGTAGCCCCCCTGCAGAACTTGCTTTCTAATGAACCAGAATGTGGCACAACCCATGCCTAAACTAATCCTGGCAGGGAGAATGCTATAAATTTACATTCACATTCTAGGTCTGAGGAACAGAGTCTCTGAAGGACATGGCCATTCAGAGAGTGAAAAGACTCAAGATTCTGTGAGAGAGAAAGAATTAAAGGGGTGGTTCTTGGGTTAATAATCCATACTGTCTACAATACAAGTGTTTGGCATTCTAAATGTGCCCTTTCCTCCACAGCAGTGATACAGATATAGGAAGTTATGAATAAATATGCGTTATCTCTAAGCCAAATGAGAAGTTTGCTTTCCTCAGGTTAGTGTTTGAGCACCTACTTGATTACTCACGTGTGCCCCCCAAAGCATCATAGAACCTGGGGTCAGAAGAGACCTTGAAAATCCATGGATTCTCCATACAAAATCCCCATGACTTTGTGTGTTAGATAAGGTCCCAGCAATAAATACATGCCATATTCCAATTATCCTAATTTAATAAGAACTCAGAGGAATTGAAGCCAGGACCAGCTATGAGTGAGGACAGAGCACAGTGAGACCATAGGGTAATGCAGCAACCAGACTAGTACCAGAGAGGCCTTCCTGTCACACCTGGGCCCGAGGTGGCAGAGCACTCTGAAGGATGGCCACCCAACAAGAGTTCAGACCTATGTCAAGGGGCACAGTAAGCCTATAGCAACCTTGCATGATGAGGGGACCTGGGGAATAAATGAATCCAGGGCTTCACTTGCAACCTCTCTCCAACTAGACACCAGAAGGCAAGGAAGCCCATCAACAGAGTCCCTACAAGTGAGACTCTGGGTACAAAACAGGGCAGAAAAGGGTGAAGATGGTTCTGGTGGGGCAAGTAAAAGATATCCAGCCTGCCCCATAAGGGGAGACCAGCCACTCCTGAGGCCACTCATTTCACCTTGGGACAACTCTGAATACAATAAATCTCCTAGTCAAGCCAAGGGTTCCATACAGAATAGACCTATTACCTCATCCTCACAACAACACTACACGTAGAGGACAATAGCCCACACATCTCACAGCCAAGTGCTGGAGCAGAAGTTGCTGAGACTTCAGTTTAGTCCTTAACCCCAGTGTCCGATGAAGATTGATGGTTAGGGTCTCCACTGTCTTTTCCCTAGTAGAGTGGTTCTTCAATAGGGGCAATTTTGCCCCTGGGAGATATTGGCTATGTCTGGAGACATTTCATTGTTACAGCTTCAGGGAGGGTCTGCCTGCTCCTGGCATTTAGTGGGTAGAGGCCAGGGATGCTGCTAAACATCCTACAGTGCACAAGACAGCCCCACAGCAAAGATTAACATGGTCCCAAATGTCAATAGTGCCAATGATGAAAAACGTAACAGGAGCTGAGTCTGTATGAGGCTGTCATGTAGGACCTTCCCTGGAAACCACACCTTGAAGATCCCCCAGTGTACCTGGGCTGAAATCTTTCTTTTGGGGTGAGCTAATGAAAAAGAGCACTAGAGCCCACTGAGAGCAGGGAGAGGAGGAGTTAGGGGAAGCAAAGATGCAGGATCGAGGCAGGTGAGCATAGAGGGGCTCTTGGCTTATGCTTGGAATGGCCGTCGTTGAATTTCCCTTTGGTGAACACCTCAACTCCTGTGCTAACCACAAGGGTAGCTCAGGAGGGTAGGAAGTATGGCTAGGCTGCAGTGGACCAGTGCCAGCCACTCATCAGCCCACACACTATTATTGCATCCCAACATCAGCTCTTTGCAGGCAAGCACATAAACAAGACCAGCCACGAGAAACATAAGAAATAAATCAAAGTTGTTTGGTTGTCTGTCCAGAAAAGGCCATTGGACTATTTCAGCCCCAGTCCAAAGGAAATGTCCCACCATGACCACAGGAGGCTGTGTCTGGCATTTAGATACAGAAGCTTGTGCTTTCCTTGTGCTGGGACCATTTCCCGGAAAAGCAGCCGCTGACACCACCCTGATTGTCTGATCACCCACATTAAGGCTGAAAAATTGTTAAACATCAACTATGACCAAGAATAAAGAGCAGGTGAACTTAGCTTCTGCTAAAGGTCAGCAGGTAGGAGCATTTGATAAACATTTGTTTCATACAACAATTTCTTTTATTTAACCTATTAAGATCAATAAGAAGTAGTTTATTTTAAGTGAATCTTCCAGACATCTAAAGTTTACCTATTTAAGAATAACCTTAATGTTGTCATCTTTGGGAGTGAGAAGCTTTCTAAAAGGTGTATATTTCCTTGAGTAGCAAAGTATGTTGACAATAATTCTACCTTTTCAAGTGAATCAGGGAGGCAGGCAGCTCATTTTGCACACCCGGCATTAGCCTCACAGTGGTGATGGGAAAAGGAGGTAGTGGTAGTCAGGTCCCTAAGCCAGAGGGCTCAGTGTTGTTCCATGTGGTACAGGCCAGCGTGACAATTTTGATGTTTGGGATGATATGGCACTGATAAAACTTACAGTAAAGCTGTGGCTTCATTTAAGTGTGCTCTAAAGAATGGTGATGTTTCTGAAGCTTATGATAAACCGAAAGGCACACCTAAAAGAACACCTGCTAGAGAGCATAAAAGCCAAAAAGAGAATACCACAATTCCTTCAAAGCAGTGGAAAGTTGGTGACAAATGTTTTGCCATTTGCTCAGAAGACAGCTTCAACTGATTTTAAGAGAGAAAACTGTTGTGGTTTACACTGGCTATGGAAATAGGAGCAAAATCTGTCTGATCTACTTTCCCCAAAGTCTAAAGTAGCTAATTATATAGAACAGAATGCTCTTCAAATGAAAATGAAAATCAAATTTCAACAGAAGGAAATGAGAATTCCTCCAGGTATCCTGGAAATAAGCCAAATAACATCAAGTCAAAAGCTGCTCTGTGGTACTCTTTTCTCCCTCCCCCACCCTCTGTGCCAAGATCAGGACAGGGACCAGGAAACCAGGTCTAAAATTCAGTGGCTCACCACCACCACCACCACCACCACCACCACCACCCCACCACCAGTACCACCCTTCCTAACATGCTGGCTGCCTCCATTTCCTCCTGAACCACCAATAATCCCCCCATCACCTCCCATATGCCCAGGTTTTCTTGATGATCGTGATGCTTTGGAAAGTATGTTAACCTCTTGGTACATGAGTAGCTCTCATATTTGTTAGCATATGGGTTTCAAACAAATCAAAAAAAAGAAGGTGCTCACATTTTA